TTGGTCTGATTCTTGGTTGTGGCTGGTTGGAGCTGTTGGGTGTTGGTTTGTCGGTTTCTTTTGCCTGGTGATGATGGGTTTCCGGGTGTTGGATCAATTGTGTTATCTCTCTGTAGGTTGTGTAGATTGGTTTGGTTGGGTCGTTTGGCTCTTGTTCAGTGTGGCCCTTGTTGAAGATTTCTTTGGATAAAGGGAAGCCCATTTTTCATGGGTATTGTTTTTTGTGGGCCTGTTTTTGTATTTGCCTTTTGCTCTAGTTCCCCATGGTTGGCTCCTTTCTGGTATGCTTGCCTATGATTTTTGTAGTTATTTTTGCTGCTGAATAAAATCATCTATTTATTTATCAAAAAAAAAAAAAAGAAGAAGTGGGAAGAAGTGGCTCGGTCTGCTCCCTTGATTTCTTCCCCTAGTCCTGCTTGGACTCCTCCAGATCCGGGATACATTAAATTGAACTTTGATGGTAGCAGTGAAGGAAACCCAGGCCCTTCAGGTATAGGTGGAGTGTTCCGGGATGAAGAAGGCCGAATTATTGCCATGTTCTCAGCACCTATAGGCTGGGGGGATTCATTGAGAGCTGAAATTTTAGCAGCTCTGGAAGGGATCAAAAGAACCCAGCAGTTGAAAATCAGAAATCTGTTGGTGGAAGGAGATTCTAGGATGACAGTTAGATGGTTGCAGGAGGAAGATTCTAGCCTGTGGAAGTTCTCAAATGAAAAAAAGAAAATCAACCAGATTACTCGAAACATGCAAATTCAGGTTCAGTGGGCCAAGAGGTGTGCCAATTCTCTGGCAGACTCTTTGGCCAAACAAGGGGTGGGAAGAGCAAATCTTTTTTGGGCCATGTTGTAATCTGACCATTGATGTTAGGGAGGGTTAGGTGTTTTTACCCCGCCCTTTTCTGGACAGGTCATCCACCTTCCATGCCTCAAGAAGCTCCTTGACTGATTGAGGATTTGTCCATTGCCAAGAAAAGCGGGACCAAGCTCTGTGAGCAAAAGATTAATGAATGAAATCATGGTTTGCACTTTCCTATTCTTCATGGCACAAGGCACAGTTAGGATCTTGGATGATCATTCCCCTTCTGAACAGCAGCTCCTTGGTCAAGCATGTCCACAAGGCACCCATTCACACTAGAAATGTTACTTTAGAGGGCACTATAGCATCCCGGACTATCTTGTAGGATAATTTAACTGCTTGTTGGAAGGAGCTCACAGAGGAAAAAGGCATTGCTTGACCATTTCCAACATCTTGTATCTGGCTTATTGGGCTTTAGGGAAATGCTACGCAACTTTGTTAGTACTTTCATTTGTCTATGATAACCACACCACTACTGCTGAAAAGTTTACTTTTTCAGTAATAAGAGCGTTTGGTTCATTGACTTACTATTATATAAAAATAATTCCCTCTAATATGTTTGGAAATTGCAACTTACCATCCTATTGTAAAAGCCATTCAACGAAAATAATTAAGAAAATGATTAAATAATTCTTAAATGAATTAATAATTAATAATTATTTAATTATTGTATAATCATTTATTAATTTAATAATTCTTTGCTAATTTAATAGTTGCATATTTCAAAATTATTTAAGAATTAATAATTCATAATTTAATACTGATTTCATAATTCTTTGATATTTTAATTATTAAATTTCTCTTACTTTAATTTATAAAAATTTACTATAAAGTTAATAATGAATTACTAATTAGTTTAGTTATTAGTGACTAATAAATAATGAACTACTACTACTACTACTACTACCAATTTTTGTTATTAATTATTTAATTATTTAATTCACCACCTGAATTAATTTAAATGAATAAGTACCTAAATAGTTACTAATATTCAAACAATGAATTAATTTATCTTTATTTAATATTAAACTTCATTAATATGAATGATTTTATATATTAAATTATTAAATTACTGTTATAAGTTATTAATTATTTAATATTTAATAAATGATGTAATGATTACTAATTTAATTCTTTTTGATTATGAAAAAAATTAATTAAGAATTTATTTATTAATAAACATAGTTTAGCTTTTTATTAATTATTACTTTCATTAATCATTAGTTATTTCATTATTTATCTAAATAGTAATTATGAACGAATGGATTGATTAGTTAGTAATATAGTTATTAATAGCTATCATATATTTAATTGTTAGTCATTTTTTATTAATTAATTAATTGATTAAATTGTTAGTTTATAAAATAATTATTATTTGTATTAAATATTAATAAGTTTTTATTTCTTTTTGTGTAACTTTTAATCATATATTATGTAAATTTTTATAATATTATTAATGAAACAAATATTTATACCTTGTCTGGGTTGAATCAATGCAAGTTTACCACTTAACCTAATCCACGACATCCCTAGGTGCAAATAGTTGGGTGCCCAAGTATTTGGATCTTCTATGCACATCTATAGAGCAATAGTCTGCGGTATGATATTTTTTAATTTTACCATTGCTTGATGTAATAGTAAACTCCTAAGTTGTAATGATAGAATACGAGGCTAACGAGCATGAGAACATGGTCCGGGACTAAGGGCAGTCACTTTGTTCCCAGAAAAAAAATGCCAAAGGTTAGGACCATGTCAAGCTCACCCCTCCCTAGACCCCAGATAGCTTGGCCAACATTGGGTAATGACCTTTTTTTATGGGGAGGGGAATGTTTTAAAACGTGGAGGTGTGACGCGAGGCGTTCCACTACCTAGAGGTGTGAGGCATAGTTCAGAACGCAAGAGGCATAAGCCTCCTGAACACAAGGAGGCATAAGCGTCCTTAAGAGGAGGGGGGTTAGGAGGAAGGGGGGATCTAATTTTTTCTTTATTTTTAATAAAAATCTTTTATATTAAGAANGAGGAAGGGGGGATCTAATTTTTTCTTTATTTTTAATAAAAATCTTTTATATTAAGAAGAATAAAGATGCATAGCATTAGTTGAAAGGGGGGTCTTTTTTTTGATAAATGATTGAAAATTTATTCATGATAATCAGAATGATATTACAATACAGCCTGCCCAAAGGAGAGGCACGAGCTGGTACCTCTCCACAACAACAACAAAGTACTACCTCAGATTAGGAAAAGAAAGTTTACAGCGTTGCCCATAATAAATGTTCCCTTGATACCCCTTGTTTAGATAACCCATTCGCTATGGTATTAGCTGTTCTACCCACCCATTGATAATTAACAGTCATGTTCCTTGAAAACCAATTAGCTTTCCTCATAAGATCCCTGTAGCACCAAATAACTGAAGTTGGATTTTTTAACCATCCCACAATGACTTTGGAGTCTCCTTCAATAAGCAAATACCGAACTCCTAACTAGTCTGCGATCTGAATACCTTGTATTGCCGCTAGAAGCTCAGCTCTAATAGAGTCTCCTATACCCAGAGCCTGAGAATAAAGCTAATATATTACTATCTTTATCTCTCAGCACCCTACCCATCCATGATGGACCCGGATTTCCTTAGCTGCTACCATCAAAATTCAGCTTTGTCCAGTCTTCTGAAGGAGGCACCCACACAGCTGGTACCCTGTTCTTCCTGTTATTGCTACTAGCCACATCAATCCAGTTCCTCTAAATGTCATAAAAGGAATATGTTTTAAAGGAATCCAATGATCTCAGCCAATGTATTGCCTTGGTCAAAATGCAATCCTTTACGTTTTGAATACTTCTCTCCTCTTTGAAAATCTTCGCATTTCTTTCTTCCCAAATTGTCCACAAAGCAGCAGCTCTAATGCACCTCTACATTGTTTTACCAAATTTTTTGGGCCACACAAAAAAGGAAGGTCAAAGATCTGATCTACGGCTGTAGTCAAATTCCATCTGCAACCAAACAAAGCAAAGATCCAACCCCAAATAGCAACAGAAAAAGAACAGGTTAAAAGTAAGTGAGAGCAATCCCCACCATTAGCCACTGCATAGTACACACCAATTAGGACACAGACACATAGAAGGCCTTCTCTTCTACAGTAAGTCTGAAGTGTTGATTTTCCTATAGAACACCTCTCAGCAGAAAATAATAATTTTAGGAGGTACAGATTTAGACCAAATCTGCTTAGCTGGGAAACCCACTTGTCCCGAGGGAGATCAAAGAGACTTAAAGAAGGAAGCACGCGTGAAGTAGTTGAAAGGGGGGTCTTGCCGCAGGGGCAGGGGGCAAACCACTTTCTTTCCCCTTATCTTTTCTTCCCTTCCCTTTCATTTTCTTTTCTTTCCTTTTCTCTTTTTTCCTTCTCTTTCTTTTTCTTTCCCTTCCCTTCCCTTTCCTTTCCTTTTTTTTTCTGTATTTTTATATAAGATGTGCATGAGGTGTATGTCTCTAGCACACCTCGTGAAAAAAGCGCATGAGGCGTATGCCTCAGAGGTGTTGGCGCCTCTGGCATACGCCTCAGGGCCTTTTAAAACACTGGGAAACAGCTTTTTGGTCCTCTTGCACTTTAATGCTGCACATGGATTAGAGAATATTTAATTTTTGGGGCTTTCTTTTCTGTATTAGGCATTTTTTTTTCGGGTGTGGGAGAGAGGGGTGGGGTGGGGAGCCAGAGGACAGGATTTGATCCCAGGTCAGTGTGAACCACATTCACTGGCTTTAGCAGGTGAGCCAACTGGAACCTTTGAATTAGAGGACAAAATTTATATCCAAGGATGAAGGACAAACAAAGTACCAGTATTTCATTTAGCTTTTTATGCAATGGTGTTTCAAGGCATCAATTCCTCTAGATTTTTTTTTTCTTTCTTTTTAGTCTTAATTGATGTTGGAACCCATCTTTAAGCGATATTATTAGCACATGCTTTTCTATGCATAGCCTTTAGTCTTGTATTTGTTAAACCTATAATTTGCTTCATTTTAATATATAAAGCTAAAAATTATTACCATGTTTCTTAAGTTGGGCATTAACTAGATAATTATTCTGGATTTGACTTGGTCCTAAATTGATAATTTATTTCTGACTGATTTTATGATATTCATCCATTAATGGCAGATATCACCGGATGACATCAGATGGGAAGGTGAGGATCCAGGAATTTCTCGTCGAGGGGGCCGTGGTGGGTCTGGTCGTGGGATTAAGAAGTCTGTTGGCCGTGGAGGTGCTGTTCCGGGTGCTGGAAGAGGGAGGGGTACCACAAAGGTTCAGGGCAAGAAGGATTTCCCACCTTCACAAAATGGCATTGGGAAAAAGAATTCTGATGATATCGAAATTCTTCACACGGATACTCTAATTAAGGAGGTATGAATGTGCAACTTGAGCTCTCGGGCCATAAAATGCAAATGAGTTGACTTTCAGCTTCTCTAAATTTTGATCAGGTGGAGAGGGTTTTTGGTGCAAGTCATCCTGATCCCCTCGAGATTGAGAAGGCAAAGAAAGTGCTAAAGGTAAGAAATGTCACACATCATGTGATCTACTTTTCTGCATCTTTAGGAATCTAAGCTTGGCCTTTTTCTCCTTTCAAATCAGGAGCATGAACAAGCACTTATTGATGCTATTGCAAGGCTTGCAGATGCATCTGATGGTGAAAGCGGTAATTAAAATTTCACTACTCCATGTTCTATTTTACTTTTCAGTTTTCTCAAAATCTTTGGAATGACCCAGCTTCACTTTTCTATATATTGTGGTGATGAGCACCATATTTTGTATATTATGTGCTTCCCCATTGCATTAATYGAACTTCTTGCATCAAATTGAGGTCACTTTTCTTTCTGCAGTACTAAATGGTCTTATTTCTTCTGCTATAAACATCTTATTTATGGTACATTGCTAAAATTGATAATTTGATGGAATAGTTGTTTTTTGAGGCAGCTGGGGTTGTGGTTACAACCTTTATGTATAAGCTGTAGTATGCCAGTGGTTGGTGCTCAGTACGTAAATAAGATACTGATCCACGGAAGCATCACCTTTTTTAGTTTATTTAGATCAATTTTGCATTTCTTGATTGATTTTCAAAAAATAAGCTTAATTCCATATGGTTCTTTTGCCTTGAAACAGATGGCGAGCACCAGTTCTCGCATGGGCAATCAATGGACCGAGAACGAGGGTGGAGAAACCGGCAATATGGTGGCAACCAGCACACTACAGATTTTGATGATGAAATGGGTGAAGGTAGGGGTGAAGGTTCAGATGGGGATCATATAGCTGGAGAAGGTAGAGTTGGATCTGATGACCAGCAAGATGGTGATGAGGGTGACGATGACATTTGATGTTCAGTGCACCATTTCTAGGGTTTGTACTACCAGAAAATTCCTACCTCCCTTGTCAAGGCTATTTTCTTGTCTTGTGCCCACCTATGTGGAATAACAGCTCCTTGCTTCGGTATTTTGTGTAGTAGAGGACTCATAGGTGGGTCTGATCTTACCATTGATCCAGTAAATTTCACCCGGGTAGGCTAGGATTCTTTTGTAAAATTATTTAAGCAGTGAATAACCTGTGGCCATGTAACAAGCCGTCTTGGAAATGGTTGCCTTTGGTTTTGCAGGTTGCACTTGTTTAACTTGCTAATCTTCTCTTCTCTCTTTTTTCAAATTTGTTCTTGCCATTTTAGGTCTGGTAGATGTTCTCCTTGTATGTTTGCAAAGGAGGCATTTTTCATGGTGCAGAGCGTATATGAGCAATTGTACTTGTACACCAGACAGACAAGCCAGGATGAAGAACATTTACCGATTTATATACAGATGGTGTCCATTGAMATTTGAAAGCAACCTAATTTCTTTGTTCTTTCCTACCTGTTTTCTTTTGTGTTTGGCACGATGTGTTTTGGTTTTCAAGTCCTCTTGAGGCAAATATCATCATGGGAAACGACCAAACTGGGCCGAGTCTTTGAAAGCCAAGTCAATAGTCTTCTTGGTAATGGAATTACTAACATAATGTATTTCACTTTCATCCTGCCAGCATAAAGCATGGCCATTGGCCAGGCTGGTGCAATCACTACAAGGATCCGATGAATTCCAGAATCAGATCGACCATTTGAGCGTCATAATTGGGCCCCTCCATCTGGAAGTGGCTCACTCCTTCAATCAGATGAGTTTTCACACGTCCTGATGCAGATTTGAGCTTGTTCTCAAATTGTTTCACGCTTGTAAATCCATCCCTGGTGCCCATGACAAATAGTTTTGGTTTTGGGGACTGTAAGATGGCTTTATGATGCCGCCCAAAGAGGATGGATGCAGTGAGACCAAAAGGGTATCCCAGACTGACATAACCAACGACTTGTTCTACTAGATCAACGGCCGAGCCTGATATGGGTGCACCTGTGCAAACAAAGCAAGATGAGGTAATCCACAACTCATTAATTGATTTCAGTAACAGCTTTTTTCTCTGAAGAATACTACATTCATTGTACGTTAGCTGAACAAAGGTGTCCTCTCATGCATCCATGTATCAAAAGTGAGAATACACCCGCTTATCTATCTAATTCATGTTATGGAACCCATATCCATTCGGCCGGCCATTCGCAGGCAATCACGTAACATATCAAATAACAAGGAAATGTTTAAGCAAAATCTATGTAATAATGTGCCGAATATTCGTGCATCTTAGATGAGTTTAACCAACCACCTAAGAAGCTGTAGACGCATGGCCAAGCCAAAATAATTCCTGCCTGCACAGTGACCAAGGCATGGCTACTCTAACATGCAAAAATGAGAAAATCCCGACCTGTCGAACCTTATGTATAATCTATAATGGGTATGAAACCTACATGTTGCCTACTCCATCCTGAATCCATGTGTAAACCCATCCTTGTCCAAGCGTACGGGTTGGTCAAGTCTGTTTTGGAATACAGCCCTTTGTACATCATGGATCTCATCTCGTTCACCGTGTGGGACCCAGTGTTTGCTTAGACACCAGGTCCCACGTCATGCACGAAGTTCTACAATTACATTGCATAAATGCATAGGAATGATTCCCCCACCCTATGATGAAAAGGTCAAAAGATAATATTTAACTAAATCATTACAAAAATATGAGAAGGGGAAGGCCCTCCAGATCTGACACTGTAGATGCCTAAATGCAAATGACGGGCTCTATCTTCCTAATCACCATGTCCAATTTTCCACTGGCTGAGCCTTGTGATCAAACAAAGCGCAAAGGAACTAGGTTTCATGGGTTCGCCCACCCCCAACCTAAGAAAAAGGATATTTCAGGGATGACCAATCCCCCTCCCAAGCATTAATTGGAGGTACAGTTCCAAATTATGTTCATGTTTTCAAATCTAATACCTAAATTTATAGTCAAATGGTTGTATGCAAAGCACAACCATCTGCTTCAAGTTTCATTTACATTCTAATGATGTTCTTGCAAAATACGCGGATTGGTGACAATTGTTTTTCTGCAGCAATATGTATGGATGATGCTGCTAATACCAACTATTCACCAAGTAGGGGATCCTTTGGATTTGCAACATGTTTGGTTCTCCAGTCCTGATCAGCATTGTACCCCACCTTGAATGGGTAATTTTCCCAACTAATATTACCTATTTGGAGTTCTAGGTTTAATATAAACCTTGTCCATAAAGTGCTTGTTTTGAACATGTGGCATGTTCTTTTGAGCCAAGATTTGTTCTAATATATGTTGAAAAGATGAATGGGATATCTTTTTCTCCGAACTAACCTCATGGAAGACTCCAGGGTTGTTTAGGCTTCACTAAACAACCTGCTATTGTGTGATGGGATGATGAAACTTCCATATGTTACTAGCCGTTTTGGAAACAGTTCTTCTTGATAAGGATCAGAGCTGGGTAGACATTTGCATTGATTCAGACTCTCAGTGGGTGATCAGAGGTGGGTAGACATTTGCATTGATTCAGCTATTTTCTGGACCTGTTTATATATTGTGGATAATATTTTGAATTCTTGTAATCTTATGAACCATGTACGTTTTGTTCATATTCTCAGGATAGTTGGACTTAAAGAAGTGGCATACACCACCTGACTGACTGAATTTGTATATTTCTGACTCTTTGGTTGTCAGTTAATGCTAGTGAGTTTTATCTATCAAAAAATGTTAAAAGACTCAAATACCCTTGTAGCATATTTAGAGCATAAGGGCCTTTATTCTTGGTAACACAAATTTGGATACCCAGTCCATCCCACCCAAGATAGCTGGGACCAACATTGGGTAATGGCCTTTTATTAGGGCCAAAATACACCTAAGACTGGAACTGGCATGATGGATCCAACAAAATAAACTAGTTCAACAATCTGACTTAAAAGAAATTTGATGTTTTTGCTAGAAACATGAACTTGATTCTCCACTGATCTGTCTGGACTCTAAGAGTTAAAATGATACCTTAATACTACTTTGCTGCAATAACAGATCAAGGTTATGTGAAATAATAAACCTACTTGATTGCAAAACTAGAAACATAGGCCTTGTAGGAATTGCAATCACAGTTTCACAAGACATCCAAGTTATTCACAGTTAGGATATTATACTCCCGAATGTTTAATACAGATTGGATATAGATCCCTCATGGATTCATGCAAACAATTGAACTAATAAAACCTCTTTCTCTCTCCCTCACACACATTAAACCAAGTTACACAAAAAATCTCGAGAATGTAGAACTGAAACTACATAAAAATAGTCATTTAAATGCATAATTGGGCGTCTGATCCACCATTTCAACACAAAGGAAGAGAATTTGACATTTCACTTAAATACTCACTAGGATATCAACCTCATTACCAACCACCTGTTTATTGAAAAAAAAAAAGTTTCCTAAAAATATAGTGGGAATGATCTAGGACAGGAGGGAAAAGATTCCTACAATCTTCACATGGTGAGAAGAAGAGCAAAATTAAGGATCTGATTTATGAGAGAAAGACATTCAGATCTAAATAGAGAAAAGAAAGAGAAGAGGTACTGCACCCTTAGAGATAGAGAGAGAAAAGAGAAAGAAGGGATTGGGTCTCCCGTCTCCCTTGTAGAATTCAATTTGAACTCAGAAATTGACCAAATACACCTCCCAATTGCTTTATGACCATCACAAAGCCATGGATAACTCAAAAAGACACTTAAAGGACTTTAGGCTCCTAAAATGACTCTAAAAATGATCTACTAATCCTGCAATAAAGGGGGTGCCCTCCAACATGAATGTTTTTGTTTTTCTTTCTTCTAAAAAATGTCACATCAGTAAAAAGTAACAATGCTTTCTTGGATGTTAATTTCTCAAAAAAAAAAAAGTGAAAACATTGTCATTTTGAAAAAAAAAACCTCTTTCTAAAACTGACAAAAAAGATGCTTTCAAAAACAAAAACATGTTTTCATTTCCATAAGCTGGTGTGGTTTACCATTTCTTGTGTGGCATATGGACCAAAATATCTAATCACCTATGGAGAAAAGACAAATACTACACAACCAAGACGGTGGTTTTTTTTTTAGTTTCAAGAAAAACAAATGTTTTGATTTTCAAATCATTGTGGAACTCCAAGATAGACTCTAGAAATGGAAAGATGCAAGTCCTATAACACCCACACCCCATTACTAAAATGGACATAACTCCCTAAAAACATGTTGGATTTGCAAGATCTTGGTCTTGTTTGATAGAAAACTAAATTACCTAACATGACATCAAAATTATGCAAAAAGGACAAACTTTGGCTCTTAAAAATAATCTGGAATAAAACTGACATGATTGCATTTTCTACTTTTGAAAACTCTAGTAACTCTCTTAAAAGTGTCTTTAAACTAATTTGACCCTTAAGATGATTAACCCTATTTGCAAAATACTAACAGGCTAGAAAGTCAAATTTTTTGAACCCCAAATTGTACTGATAAAAACTACAAAATTGCCGCTTGATAAGGAAATAGAAGAAAACTTATTTCTTTCTCCATGGATTCTTTTCCTGTACCAAGTCTGCATCAGGGAATTTATGAAGACTGTTATCTTGATATATGCATATATTGGTTCAACACAATCACTTTTTTCATTATTATAAGAACCTATAACATTATTTACAACAACTGATAACATTTTAGCTTTTAATATATGTTAGCAAATGAATCTAATGAAGCATATGGATTAGATAATACATTGCAACCATGATGTTAGTCAATTGACAGGTTCAAACTCCAAAGAATAATGAGTATCTGATGATATCTTCTTTTGGCTGGATTAATAAAGTTAAGACATTTAACAATGATTTCAATCTAAACTTAGTGGACCTTCTAATAAAACCCAATCACAAGCTTGACAAAAAACTTCACTGCCCCCTAAATAAAAATAATGATAACAAGAAAAGTCTACTACCCAATGCTAGTTCTGGTATCTGGGGTCTTGGGAAAGGTGGACTGGGTAGGGACCTAACCTCCAGTATCTTCTGCTACGTGAAGGTATTTTGTGGTTGATCTGGACCATTCATCAGATAGGTGATCCACTGGATTGGCAACTTGCCCAATCCCATAGTCCATCCATATCATCTATCTGCCCCACCTTGTATTAGCCATTCAAAATTTTAAATTTACAATATAAAACTTAATTGTAAAAATGGGTCTATTTTACACATGTTGCAAGGTATTTATTCCAAAATTTTTCCATGAGTATCCACAAGGAGTAGGTGTAGTAATTAGTTCATTTAGGGGTTATTCAGTATTGTGGTCTTGATAAAGTGCAGTGCATTTGAATCCACTGGACCTATTGTGGTGTGGTTGAAACAACATGATTTGAACCACTCCACACTCCATAGCGTGTTCTGTACTGTGGTGTGGATGGGTGTGAATGCATTGTCAACAAAATTGCCAATAAAATATCTTGGTCATTTATTGCAGTACATTATAATGATCAAGTCTACTTTGGTGTGGACCAATCCACAAGATTTTGGTGTTGAAAACAAATTGTGACATTTTGTGTTTCAAAAACATCCACAGTAATGCACCACGCCCCTAAAAGAACGCCTAATGGGTGTGGCACGTTTCAGAACCAAGCAATCCATGGAATATTAGTGAGCTTCCTTGAATGGCCAAAGAATCTTAAGAAAATTAATTTGGAACTCAAAAGGGTCTCAGAGTTCCTTTCCTCACTATCATCTATTTATGAAACAAATTCAGCCTACAACACTTTTCCATACGTGTAAAATAAGCCCACCTTTATAGGTAAGTTTGATATTGAAACTTGAACAGTGTACCACCAATATAAGGTGGGCCATATGGTTGATTAAAAACTTCCGCTCCTTTCAGATATAAGGGAATGCCCATTTGCTTATTTATTTTTAAATTAAATTATTGAAAACATATTGTCGCAATAAAATCCCTGTTTGGTCTTAATTTCCTCTTACATCTTTACTTTCCTTTTAATCTCTCTGAACCCCTCTTGACTCTCTCTAATAAAGCAGTCTATAAATTAGATGGATCAGGTCAGGTTTAAGGGCCAACTTACGACCAACCCTAAAATTGAACTTGGTCTGAAAACCCAAATTTGCCAATCCAAACCTAATCAAAATTCTATTCAACCCCATGCATTGTATGGATTTAATTGCTAGTGTTGAAAGAATTTTAAACTACATAATAACATGGGTGATGGTTTTGCTATCCACGGAGAAATGAGGATCCACTCCTTAAAACAGGGGGAAGTGAACTCATGGCTGATAGCCTCTAAGTTTGAACATGTTGCAAATCCAATGGGTCCCCTATTTGATGTATGGTTTGTATCAGCCACAAAGATCCCTCCACGTGGCAAAAATAGGAGGGGCCATGTGGAAAAGCTCTCCACTAGCAACGATCAGGGAACCTTTTACAGAGTTGGGATCTGTTGCACTTCTTTTCAGTCTGTGACAGGTGTCCAATTAAAGAGTGCAGCAGATCCGGACTCAGACAATACATGAGTAGAATGAAATTGAAAGGAAAGAGGTCTCCTTGCTCATCCAAAGCCAATCACATTCCTAACATGAAACAAATACCATCTAGAAGAGCTGGAAATCAATGGCCATACCCGTTTCACTACATCAAAATTATTTCAACAAAGTAGTATAAAAGTGTAATCCATAACAGGAATGGTAGAAACTAATTAGATTCACTTAGCACAACAAGCCCTGATCAAACACAAACAATTCCCTAACATGAAACAAATAATTTCTGTTAAAAAAATACCYATTTCATATAACTCAAGAGCCATCCATCAAAACCAATCCAACATGTAACAATGCAACATAAACACAGAGAGAAAGAGAATAGTCCTTCGAGAGTCATACCTGCAGAAGAACCGACCAACAAAATTCTGTCAGTGGACAAGTTCTCAGTGACCCACTTGCAGACAGCAACAACATCACGGATTTCAGAAAAACCGGTGAGAGAAGCTCTACCGCTTGATTTGCCGGCCCCTCTCATGTCGAAGGTCACAGCTCTGTAGCCTCTCTCAGCTAACCCACTTGCGATTCCCTTCAATAGGCCTTGACAACCACCCAAAACAGAGTAGGGATGGACGAGAACAACCACCAGGCTGTCCTTCACCTCATCGCTAGGTTTGAACACTCGGGTGTGGAGCTTAATTCCATCGCTGGTTTCAACCTTGCAGGATTCCACCTGACAGCTCCCCGCCATTGAGGTATAAGGAAGCTATGGAGCAAGGGAGAGAGGATCAGAGAAAGGGGAAGGCAAAAAGGGAGGGAACGAGAGGCAGTTGGATGCAGACATTATTTTCTGGACACAAGACATATTTATGTCTTCTTGTCAATGTTTAATAGGTGTTTGATCGAAGTAGTTGTATTTCTACCCAAAAGAAAGTAGTTGCGTCGGAAGCTTCCTTAAATTTTCTTTCCCATGGCCACACTCATCTAGACGCACAACAGGAATATCAGCTTATAAAGTACAAGAGATGTTACCAATGTGCAGCCGGATGAATGCAGTCAGCAATGTTTTGTGGTCAGCAGATCCAAACTGGTTTGAAGGGTATTCTAGCCTGGATCTGCTGGAAACAAGATACACAAGTTTTGTCGGGATTGAAACCTAAAGCTCAAGCCCTTTGATGAAGTCTCTGAACATTTTTTTATTCTCTAACATGTCCTCTCACAAAAAACCCATGGTTTTAAAAACTAAATCGGTCAGGGTCCGGTTATCGGGTCGAACGGTCTAACCGTTTGAACCAAATGTTCAGCCCGTTCTAACAAAAAAAAATAAAAATAAATAAAAAAAATGGTCAAAACCGTTTGAATGGTTAATCGTCCGGTTTAGTGATTCGCTGACCAAAAAGCAATAGTTTTGAGGGGAAATCCGGTTTTTGGGGAAAATGGAACTGGTCACGGTTCCTAATTTTCTGGTCCGATCATCCGATCCGATCCGGTTTTGAAAACCATGCAAAAACCCAATAGACTTAAAATGTGAACAAACATAGGCCCACTTATATGTTGAAATTTAATTAATTATTATGAAGACAATGAAGAATAAACACTAAACCACTTAATCAAATAGGCCTTGATACCATCTTAAAAAATAGTTCAACCTAAAAGTTTAAGCTATTAGATGAGGTCCCATACTAGGTTTATAGTCTTCTAACTTCTGCAGTGTTAATTACATGCTTGTTGCTTCTGAGGATTCTTTTGAACCCATTGAGTCTTCTGCATTTGAGCAAGCTAATCCGACAATGATTAGATTTTTTGCATTTGAGTTAGCTAATCTAAATTCGATTACATCAGACAAAGGGGTAATGCTGTAGTTGAGATGAGCTAAATTATTATTGATGTGGGGTTCTGGTGGGTGATTGATCAGAGAAGATTCCTTGTGTTCTTTATTAAGCTAATTTGTGAAAGCTTAGAGGAGAAGTTCATTGTAGATTATTTGGTTAGCTTGGAATTTGATATTTGAGCTTGTTTCTCTTTCAATCTCCAATTTATCAAGAAAATTGTAGAAACCTTCAATCTTTGCAAGATCTGTTGAAGTGGCATTTTCTTTTAACTGGTCCAAGGGTTAATGCCAGTAGTGAGTAGGTCCAGTCTGGTACACATGGAGCCCTCACATTCAATTAACCCCACATGGATGCATAATTGACTAGATGCCTTCTCAATCACAAACCATCTTTTGAATTTGACATTTTCCTTTAACTTTTTGCTGTGTTATCTGTCAGAGAATAAAAACCAATTCTGGACCTACCTAACAGCTTAATCCTTTAAGTTGAATAGCTCTTTGAGATGGTACCAAGAGTCTGTTTGACCAATTGGTCAATGTGACCATAAGGTATGGACGAATTTAGATTTAATCATCACACTGTACTCACAGTCTCTTGCAGCTGTACAATGGAACACAATTGCAAATTGCTGTGAGGATGGTTTTGTGAAGACTATATCCAAATTCGACATGAATGGGTCTGTGTTCGTCCATGCTTCAAGACAATTGGGCTTTCGCGTATGCAAGGAGAAGTATTAGAGAATAAAAACCTTTTCAGTGGTCTCACCTAACAGCTCAAGCTTTTAGGTTGAAGGTTCCTTGAGATAATCTCTCACCATTAAAAGAAGTAACATCTCAAATGCATAGATATTCAGTTTTTGTAACCACTTCCTATGGTTAGCTTCTTTCACATGAGATCTCCTAGGTGAATGTTTATGTAATAGTAGGTTCCTTGGTCTCTGCTTATAATGTTGCCTCACTACCTCCCCTCAATGTTTAAAGTATCGACACATATCGGCCTGTATCGGCTGATATGTATCGTGCCGGTGGCTTTTCGATATATCCCTACAAAGATTGTATGAGGTCAGCCACTGTTCAGAGGGTAGCTGGACCTTAAACCAGCCCCTCTGAACCGATTTCAAAAAAAAAAGTAAAATATATAAAAAAGAAAAACACCAACACAGGCCGATATGCGCCCGACCGGCCCATGGCGATATTTAAAACCTTGCCTCCTGTTTCCTCTTGATACACTGAGTAAATGGAGTGTTTCAACAAATTCAAACTATAACTAGAAGCATTCTGTGTTTTGCTATCATTTCATACCAAAAACTCTTATAACTAGTTCATGAACTGTTATGGGTAAAAGAAATCTATTAGCAAGGCAAAGCCCTTTGCACAGAAACTGTTGATGGGAAATTATACACAAACATGAAATTTTGGTAGGTGGAGACAATGCTGAAGAAAATTAGCAGGGATGAATAATACTGCCTAATTAAACTGCTTAATGTATTATTTGGGTACTCAGAATCATTTAAACCTTTTCAGGGAAAAATAAGAAAGATCCATTGTAATAAAATATGAAGGATATAAAAGGTACAATAGAATTAATTTTAATCCATTCAAATGTGTGAAAAGACCAAACCATTTTCCACCATTTTCTCATGCAGCACTTTGTTTGTGGTGCAAATTTGAACCAAGTGCAAATTTTGCATCTCTTTATTTGTGACCATGATACGCAGTCATATATTGCAAAATTTTCAAATTTTATCTCATTTGCACTCATTAGTGGAGTAGATTTTGTATCCCAAAAACTAGTACAAATTTTAGACCACCTTTGTTCTACCTTCCAATTTCACTCATATAAAGTGGGGATTATATCATTTTAGCTCCCATTTCACAATTCACACCTAAATAAATAACCTCCCCGGCTCCCCCTCATCTTCATTCTCTTCAATGGACCACATAATTTTACTATTTGCATTCCCAATGCAAATGAAATTTGCACAAAACAAATGGAGCCCGAACAACTATCATGCATACCGTAAAAATCTTGGGTTGCATCTTTATCTATTCTCTGCCAAATTTTTGTCAATCTCCCCCTATAGGGGTGCAAATGGATTGGCCATCCGAGATCCAATCTTATTTTGTTAATCTCCCCTTTTTTACGGGTGCAAATGGATTGGTCATCCGAGATCCGATCTTATTTGGTTGAATTTAGATTACCGCTGGTTGGATTTTTGGCTTGGGTTAGATCAGATTTTATGATCCGATCAAAAATTGGATTGGATTCGAATCCCCCATCCCATCCGATGTGTTATATATATATATATATTGTATTTTTATAAATATATTATTTATATTGTATTTTTATAAATTTGTTATATTATTTATTTTTTTATAAAAAACATATATATATATGATGAAAATAATTAAAAAATACTTGTATTTTTTTATTTTTTATTTAAATCGGTATATTTTATTTATTTTTAATAATTTATTAACTTTTAAAGAAAACAAGTCAGATCAAATCAGATTAAAAAATCTGATAGAATTCGAATTAAGATTGAGTCCTATCAGATCTGATTGGATCTTCGAATTGGACTAGATCTRACATGGTTCATGTCAGATCGTATTTTGGAATAAAGAGCAGCTGTACGGTTGTAGAGATAGTGTTCAAATTGTACATCCTGTTGCCATACGGAGAGGTAGTAACAATCACACAACTATCTAAACTAGCAACTATTTGACATTTTAGTACCAAATGATGGATGGCTCAATTTGTATAATATTCACTATGTATATGTTTGATATGGTTTCCATTTAATAATTATAATGTTTGTATTTAATTTCTTTTCAAAATCGAGAAAAAGTGATTGATAAATGTTTTTCTGAGACACTTAGGCATCACATCAGTGGAACAATAAATAAACACTTAACCATTGGAGAAAGTGTTAAAATGAAGATCCCTAATAGTTGGCGGCTTGACGCACATATAAATCAATATCAAAATTTATCAATAACAATGCATACGAATCGGCATGATGAGACACATACTGATTTGGCAATGACATGACATCATTTATCAAATAAATGAAAGTCATACCAAACAGCATCTATATTATTGCTGAACCATGCAAATTACCCTACCAATTGAATCAAGGGGTGGAAGTCGGACCCCATTTAAAAATCTCATACAACATTGGTCCGGGGTAATCCCACTAGTTTATAGCATTATTCACCTCGATGTGTTTGTCAATAAAACGTATGTTGTGTTTGATACAATTGATGTTTCTATCTGAAACGTTTTGGGTTGATCAAAACAAATTATTATTTTTATTTGAAATGTGAAATTGTTGTTTCAACCATAAATGTTAAATGATCAATCTAGAACAGATGCACTTTTCTAGTTGATGTGACTCTCATATGTGATATGACAATATAGGGATATAAACCATCGCATCGGATTCGAATCATGGTATATTTGAATATGATCTAATGTTGTTCATGTCGGATCCGATTCAATCGGATCTAATAGGACTTGATTTGAATTCGAATCATATTGATAAGTCAGATCTTTGGATCAGATTTCATCTAACTTGTTTTTCTTTAAAAATTAATAAATTATTAAAAAAATAAAATATATTAATTTAAATAAAATAAAAACAAAAAATACAAGTATTTTTTTTAATTATTTTCATCATAAATAATATAATAAATTTATAAATAAATAAATAACATATTATATATATATATTTATATTTATAAATATATAATATATATTAAATTGAATCTTATCCGAATCCGACCCGATGGTCCAAACATGGGTGATCCGAGTTCAACCAAATAGAATGGGATCTCGGATTCTATTTGCACCCCCATAACAACACCTCTCATCAATTTGTATTGATCAATGGAACATGCTTATATTATCCGGTAGAAACAGCAATAGTACTAAATACATTTTTCTCACAGAGGTGTAACTCCTGTGGACCTTTTTGTCAATGCATCGGGAAAAGGGACAAAATACCAGGGTTATTTTGGTCAGTAAAAGGATATGGCGTTTTTTTGTCCTTTTGTCTCT